TTGACACATTGGAGCAAGGGTGAAGAAGTTAGAAGTGAAAACGAGTTGATCGCGAAGACGCTGGCGTCGGACGCTGGGTCTGAAAGCACCGGACCCTGGCAGCGTGTGTCCGGTCAAACTGACGGGTCTGCACAGTACTGAGGGTATTGCACTAGACGTTGATCTGTGTCCGGTCAAGGTGGACCGGACGCGTCCGGTCGAAGAAATACGCCTCGAGGACCTTACTGGAAATGACCGGACGCTAGGGTTGCTGCGTCCGGTCAGTTTATGCTAGAGCGTCCGGTCGACAGATGACCGTTGAGATCCAGTGAACAGCGTTTGAAGGAGGGGACACGTGGCGTGCATCGCACGATCGGACGCTGAGGTCCAGCGTCCGGTCGATCGGACCAGAGCGTCCGGTCATCCCGACATTTGCCCAATGAAGGGGTAACGGCTAGTTTAGCCCTTGGGGCTATAAATAGAAGTGGCCCTCGGCCATGGCTGGTGTTGAGCACCTAAGGGGACTTAGTGTCCATGCTTGTGAGTGTTTGGGAGCCCTCCATCACACATATACTTGATAGTGATCATTCGATTGTGTGAGTGAGCGATTCTAGTGCGATTGCATCGTGAGCTTGCATCGAGTGGCACTAGGTGATCGAGTTGCAAGCCGGTGGTGCTTGTTACTCTTGTAGGTTGCCACCTCCTAGACGGCTTGGTGGTGGTCTCCGTCGAAGCCCGCAAGAAGCTTGTGCGGGGCTCTGAAGAAGAGCTTTGTGAGGGGCATTGTGCTCGCCCCGCGGGAGCCGCGAAGAGCAACTTTAGTAAAGCGTGTCATTGAGCTACCCTCACTCAAGGGGTAGGTTCTTGCGGCGCCCGACATGCGGGCTTAGCGGGTGATGCTAATTAGCCGCCGAACCACCAAGTGAGCGGTCGACACAACGGAGACTAGCGTGTTGGCAAACACATGAACCTCGGGAGAAAAATCATCGTGTCAACCTTGTTCTTCCCGTTGGTTTGCTCCCCATTACACAAGCTTGCATTTACTTTCATACATATTAAGCTTGTGTAGTTGCTCTTGTAATTAGATAGCTTGTGTAGCTTGCTAATTACCTTCTTGCTTGTGTAGCATAGAAGTAGCTCTCTTGCGTGGCTAATTTGGTTTTAGTAACCTTGTTAGTCACATTGCTTAGTTTATGTAGCTAAGTACTTGCGCTCTCTAATTAGGCATTGGTTGCCTTGTTGTTGAACATTGCTAGTGAGCATAGTTAGCTTTGTGCTTTTGCTTACTAGCATGTGTAGGAGCTCTCTTGTTGCTTAAAATACTAGTGGCATAGGTTTGTGTAACCTTGCTCTTAGAATTGTTTAGGAGAGCTCTAGCTAGCCCGTCACCTTTGTTGCATAATTGGTATCTTAGCAAGGTGCTGGTGAATATATATAGAGGGGTGTAGTCTTGGTTAGATCGATTGTTTTAATTTCGTATTTATATCGGTTAGCCGACGCAATTAATTTTAGAAAAGACTATTCACCCCCCCTCTAGTCCGCCATCTCGACCCTTTCACTGGTGACCGCGCCCCACATAAGAAGACGGACCGAGTTCATGTTATGCACGGATTTTAAAGCGTTCAAGACGTCTAAACCGTTGATCCAATCCCCAAACCACTTTTGTTATACCTTAGAGGGTATATTAGGCTACTAAAACAAGCCATAATACTATCCTACTCCTTAACCCAATCTCTCATAATAAATTGCTAAACAAAGCAATGTCTAGCAGTCGGCAGACTTGAAAATTTCTAAGTTTTAGAGCTGAATTTGATTTCCATTTGTGATTTCTAAGCTAGTGGAAATATTAGCTAGTAATGCCATTTTTTGACCGCAAGTATTTCATTGTCATCTACAAAGTTTGTACTTTAAACTTTATTTAAGTATCACACACATGTTCTATAGTATTTTTGCTTAATCAAAATTAGTTTTAAGCCCTAAGTGATATAACATGACTATCGAATCAACTTTCGTTCCGCATTTTAGTTGATCATTTCGAGTTATAGAAATTGATCTACACACTTAATCACTTGCATTAACATAGAAACATGATGCTCATAATATGTTTTAGTAAATGATTTACGGTGTAACATCGAGGGTGTTACAATCGCCCCCTGACCGCAACACCCCCATCCGCTCGCCCCCAACGCTTTCGTCCACTATCCCTCCGGCGAGCCACGCGCCCCCGGCCGTCTGACTCGCCCCCCGCCGAACAACATAGAAAGCTGGAATAAAACACGGAAACAACTACTGCAATATTAGGTTGAAGCAGCTGAAACACCATGAACATATTATTACAACAACACGGAACAAACTGTCGCAACAATAGGTTGAAGGAGCTAAAACATTTGGAACATATTATTGCAACACTGGGTGTGAAGCATATGAAACAACGCTCGAATAAAAATACTGGAAACAACATGGAACAACTACTGCAATATGAGATTGAAGCAACTGAAACATTTCGAAAATATTATTGCAACATTTGTGCCAAGCATATGAAACATTCAGATCAGAACGATTGCAACATCATCTAGAAACAAGTGAAACATTTTGAAATAGTGCCTACAACAAAACCTTTGAAACAAAATGCAACATGGGCAAAACATCCCCTAGATCTACTTGTGCAACATCTTTACGATTCAACTACAACATACCTCTGAAGCGTCTAAAACAATTAAAAGATACAATTGCAACATATAGAGGTGGAGAGAGCCTGCACGGGGAGCCCCATGGCCACTAGATCTGAGGGCATCAGGAACTCCCTGTGGGGGAGGACGCCGGTGTCGGGGAGGGGCGCCATCGGTGTGCGGAGGAGGGACCCGGGATGTGGAAGGAGGACGCCAGGGTTGGGGAAGGAGGCTTCGGTGTGGGAGAAGGAGTCACCATGGTGGGGGAGGACGCCGGTGTCGGAGAGGGGCGCTGCCGGGGTGGGGAGGAGGGAGTCAGAGTGGGGGAGGAGGACGTCGGGGTCGGGAAAGGAGACGTCGGTATAGGGGAAGGAGCCGCCGTGGTGGGGGAGGATGACGCTGGAGTGGGAGAGGATGTCGCCACCGTCAGCTAGGAAGGGAGCGAGGTGTGTGGAGGATGGGCGGAAGGCGGGGAGGAGCATGGCCGCTGGCTCGCGACGCTCCAGAGCACAATCGGGGGCGCGCGGGGCTCCTGGATCCATATGGAAGGAGAGGGAGAGGAGAGGAGGAGCGGCAGCAGCAGCGAACGTGTGGATGGGCTAAACTGCAGTGTGAGCGGATAAGACCGTGAGAGACGAGTGGAGGAGGACGGGCGGCGCCGTATCAAATCGTTATGGCCCCGTTCGTTGGTCTGAAACTTGGCTGAAACTGTCTGAAAAACATTGTTTCGGCTGAATTGTTGTGAGAGAAAAATACTATTCCAACTAAAAAAGAATTCGAACGAATATGGGGTAAGCCAAACAGGGCCTATACAAATGCACGGCCGAAACAATCGGACGTAAGAGTCATAGAAATACCGAAAATAAATGGACCACATCATCCAATGCAAAGGAACCAACGCCCTGATCGGCTAGGGCTGGCTGGCTGACCCCCTCACATGGATATTATTCACATAAACCAGCCAGCAGTACTTCTCTCTCACATAAACGAATCAGCCAACCGAACATGCTGCAAGACAGAGGAGAATCCAAACATGGGGAGATGACAAAAACGCAAGAGGAAAAAAGCAGAGTAGCAAGATAGCAGAGGATTATCGGAGAAGAAGAGACCGTGGATGCCGGCGTGGAGACGGAGCCAAGCGACCGAGCGCAAGAAACAGGCGGCGGATAGAACGGAGGCGCTCTCCGCAGCTGCAGTGGAGACGGCGGAGGCAGGGGCCACAACGGCGGCGGATACGACGGAGAGACGCACCGCAGCGGCGACGACGCGTGCGAGGCTAGGCCGCACCGTCTAGGGGAACGACGGCACCAAGGGTCTGTTCGGCTGGTATTAAAGCCGACTAATTTGTTGTGAGAGAAAAATATTATAGATTTTAGCTGATAAACCGGCTGATAAGTTCAAACGAACAGCCCAAGGACGGAGCCGTGATGAATGCACGGTGGGCCAAGTGGAGTAGAAAACGAAAAAAAAAGTAGAGCCCAATTGCTGTGGAAGAAAGGAGTCCACGCAGGGACACTGAGGCCAGTTCGGGAGGAGGCACGCGTCCGGTTAATTTGCAGTACCACGCGGCGACAGTATGATATACGTGCACCTAGTTTTCTTTGGCATTGGTAAGATGAAATCGCACGCAAGCATCCGGAGAGCAGCGAATCCATACGCCATAAGGATGTTATTATAGTATGGAGAAGCAAATATGTTATTATAATATAATAATGTGTTCTTATATAAAGAAAATGTTATTTCTCTAAGGGCTGTTTGATCTATGGAATTAAATTTATTATAATAATTATGATTTAGATATATATTAATTAAATTAATATAGTTGTATATGGATGAGAGTTGAAGAATATGCAAATATGTTATTATAATATATTATTGTTAATCATACAAAGGAGATATTTATATGTAGCATTTCTATTATAGAGAAGAGAATTGAAGAACTTGCTATAAGTTGAAGAGTAGAAACACAATATGACTATTTATAAAATTAATTTCCATCTTTTAACCAATGAATTTAAGATAAGTTTATACGTAAATTTGTGAAAGTTGTAGAATATCAAATTCTAAACAAATAACCTAATCTATATTAAGTAGATTTTAAATCCTTCGAAACGATAGAATCCAAACGGCGCACTAACAGAGAGGTAAGTTTTTTTAGACACGTGTCTGCTGGTATCAGAAATTGAATGGGCGACTCTGAATCTCTTATTACTTTATTATTGACTTTCGTTATTTTGACAGGAGAGAAAAAGAGGAAAATCGTATTCCCATCAGGAGCGAGCAGGTGGTCTCGTCTCGTCTGATTATGTGATCCGACACTCCCGAAACCCAGTCCAGGCCGCCGCCGCCGCCATGGCCTCCGACGACGGGGACAAGGACGTCCTCCTCCTCGTCCACCAGGTCCCCCTCGACATGGATGAGGGGCCAGCGCCCCGCCTAGCGCACCTTCTCCCCCCGCTCCACCGCGCGCCTCCCCCGCCCCCGCCTCCCCCCTTCCGCTCGCCGCCCCCGCCGCAGGCCGCCGCATCCGCCGAGCACCGCCTCTCCTTCCGCGGCTGGCTCGGCATCCCGCGCCACTGGGAAGACTGGGTCGCCAAGCTCCGCCCGCTCCACTCCCGCCTCTGGCGCCACCTCGGCATCCACGACGCCGTCCTCGCTTCCACCCTCCGCTTCAAGCGCGATGCCTCCGCCGTCCTCCACCTCGCCTCCTTCTGGTGCCCCGCCACCGCCACCTTCGCCTTCCCCTGGGGGGAGGCCACCGTCACCCTCCAGGACGTCGCCGTCCTCGCCGGCTTCCCCGCCCTCGGCGCCCCGGCCCCGGCCCCGCTCCCGCCCCAGTGGCGCCCCGACGAGGCCGCACTCAATGGCGTGCGCCTCGGCTTCAACCGCAGCGCCTGCAAGAAGGCGCACCACTCCGCCTGGGTCAAGCACTTCCTCACCGCCGACGACAACGCCGACCCCGTCTTCGAGCACGCCGCCTTCCTCGCGCTCTGGCTCACGCGCTTCGTCCTCCCGGGCCACCCGGAGTCCACCATGCGCCAGGCCGTCTTCCCCATCGCCGTCCGCCTCGCGCGCGGGGAACGCGTTGCCCTCGCCCCCGCCGTCCTCGCCTCCATCTACCGGGACCTCCGCGAGATCAAGGCCTTCCTCGGCGCCGCGGGCGCCGCCGCCACCGCAGGCGACGCCGATATGCTCTCCTCCTTATCCGTCTACTCGCCCCTCCACATTCTTCAGCTCTGGATGTGGGAGCGCTTCCCTGCCCTCAGGCCAACAAAGGTGAACCCACTCGTGGCGGGCGACCCGCTTGCCGCTCGGTGGCATGATCTGAGCAGGAAGCTGAACCCGGCGCAGATACGTCAGGCCCTCAACACAGGATACAACTTTGTGTGGCAGCCTTATGTCAGCTCCTTGGAGCACACTGGGTGGGTTCACAGCAGTGATCTAGCCGGGAATGATGAACTGACATCGCTCGCACATTTCTTGCGCCCCTGTGAGCTCGTGGGGATGGATTGCATTGAGCAGTACCTCCCGCACCGCGTCGCCAGACAGTTTGGACTGGACCAAGATGTGCCTGGGGATGTTCACCGTGCCAACCAGGATTGGGCGATTGCTTGGCAGACCTACCAGCTGGAGGGTAAGAATGTGGCTTTCTTCATCCCTCACTCTGAACCTGGGATCACAGCATGGTACGCACAATGGTGGAGGCAGCAACTTCTGCCTTCTCACATTGATGCAGCAGCATCAAGTGCTCCAGTAGAGTGGAAGCCTTCCAAGCGCAAGGTGAAAAAGACACCAGCGGCCATGGAAGCTGAGGCTGAGAAGGAGCGGAGGATGAAGAAGGCCCGTGTATCTCCTACTACTGACAAAAAGCGCAAACTTGAAGAGTTGTATGATACTAAGTTGTCAGATTGGCTTCCAACTGCGAGGAATGAGATTAGTGACACCACTAGTGACATGGGATCGGAGGAGGCCTTGTTGCCTAATGTTGGAACGACCAATGATGATATTGTGCTACTTATGCCAAGGAAGCAGACAACAACTGCACCTGTAACAGCATTGATGGATAATGACATGACCCCGGCTCTAGGAGAGAGAGGAAACTTCATGGTTGATGAGCCTCCAGACATCCCAAGTGAACCTGAAGCTGGTGTCCCTGCAACGCTGGAGGAGGAAATAGTTAAAATTCCTGTGGTTATATCTCTTGATATCCCAGACAAGGCAGAAGAAAGAGCCACTGCAGTAATGGAGGAGCAGAAGGAAGCTATTGGTGTATCTGATAGATCTGAAGAAGTTAGTGCTCCGGTCATAAAAGAAGTAGAAGAAAAGGTTGCAATAGAGGGAGCTATTTGTGTTACAGGGATGAATCCATCAGGAAACAACACAGCAATTGTAATGGAGGCAGATGAAAGAAATGCAGTTCCAAAGGAATTTGGAAGGGCTGCCGAGGAAGCAACTGAAGCTGTGCCACAGAGCCAGCATGAAGTTGATGCAGGTGTTATGAACAATTCTCATGATGCAGTGGCTTTACCTGAGGAGGCCGCTCCAGTTCAGCCTACAAATGATTCTGCTGGATGTCCTGTGGTATCTCACATAATGGAAGGTAGTAATGTTGCTGGCGATTCGGGCAAAAATGATTATGAAAATACATCTTGTGATTTTGTTGAGGAACAGAAGGAGATTCCTTGTGTAGAAGAGATTGTTGGAGAAAACAGTCGAATGGGTGAGGAAGAGAGAAAGGAAACCTCCCATGAATCTCCTCAACTAGAGATAGTAGAATGTGTGCAAGACATCGTTCTTATGGAAACAGAATATGATGTTGAGCAAAAGATAGTTCATCCAGCAGTGGAGGATGTAGCAACTTCCAATAGTATGAGTCCAGCTCCCCTGGGTTTTCCTGAACCAGAAAATGCAGAACTCAATAAACATCCTTATCTAGCAAATAAAGATGCAGAAGATATACCCATGGAAGTTGCACAAGGAGAAGCAGCAGAACTGGAACAAATTAGTACTTCAGCAAAGGGAGGTGCCGAGGAGCATGAGGAATTTTCTGAAGTCGATCACATGGGCACAGCAGATGCCAAGTTGCATTTACACTTGAATTCTGAGGTGCCTGAGAAAATTGATGAAGTAGAGCGTAAAGAAGTCGATGGCACTATGAGACTAACTGAGAGAGATTCTGATAAGAAGCTTGGAGATGTCCCTGAAGTTGGGTACACAGAAGATGAAAACATTAGGGGACTGGTAGTGAATACAAGTGATAGGAAACCTTCAGAAGTCTCCCAAGCCGAGCCTGCAAAAGTGGAAGATTCTAAGGATTTGATGGAAGAGGATACAGACAAATCTGAAAATGTTCCTGGATTAGACTGTACAGGATTGGAGGAAACTCATGGAGATTTGATGAAAGAGGGTACAAATAATACGTCTGAGAATGTTCCCAAATTAGAAAATACAGGATTGGAAGGAACTCGTGGGCCAATAGAGGATACTGATGGTAGACTCAAGGAAATTCATGATGTCAATGCAGAACTGGAAAAACGCAATGTGCATGAGAGTGATATTGATAGATCCGAGGACATAACGCAAATAGATCCACTAACACAGGATGAAGCTAGGTGGCTGTCGAAGGAAGAAACTGAAGATAATGCTACAAAAGTTCAAGAAGTAAAGTATGAACAATTAAGAAATGAGGCACCGATTCAGGAGGATACCAAGGAAAAGCCCTGTGCTGATAGCATGGATCTATCAGAGAATGTTGTAGATCAGTCCAAAGAGGTTGATAAATTGAAACAAGCAGAAGCAGAGGGTTGCCAGGTGTTAATGGAGAAAGACATGGAGAATACCAGTGATTTTTTTGTACTAGAACAGACAGAAGATGGACACAGAAAATCATTGATAGAGACAGGTATAAATAGCCATAATGAAATTACTCTAGTCGAGCAGTTGGATGGACAAAGCGAGAGACTTAAGAGGACAGGTACTGAGGAAATTCATGGAGAAACCATTGAAGCACAAGAAAAGGAGTTTTATAAGGATGTGGCAGAAGATTCAAATAACTCAACCAATGATAAGGATGTGGTAGAAGATTCAAATAATTTAATCAATGCTGAGATGCCATGTAGTTCAGCTACTGTACAGTTAAAAGAAGATAAGATGGAAGTTTTTCATGAAGGCAAGATTGAGGAGCCATGTGTTCAGGATGTTGAACTGATTAATCAGAGGGATCCATCATCTGATGCAACTGCTATGGAGATTGAGGTAGTATCTAACCACAAGATCTTTTTGAATATGCATGAGGTGTGCTTGCAGATGTCTGTACTTCTGTTAACTGCTAATTAATCTGACCATGCTTTTTTGCAGGCAGTGGCTCTGGAGCAGGACAACAGAATCATACACAACAACATGGAGGCAACAACAGTGGAAGGCAGCCACACGCTGGATAGTGGACTAAATTCTGATCTAGCCAATGTTAATGAAACTCATGCTGCATGGGAAATTAAAAACCAGGAAATTTTGGACGTGGACATGGTGAGCATGGCTGCAGAATATATGCCTTGATCACCTTCTCTAATTGCTATAATTTTGTTGAGACCACAGCTTATCTAAATCATGATATTTGGTTGTTTGCAGCAAGTAGCAATGGATGAAAGACAAGATCTACAAGTGGTAACTGGAAATGACAAAAGGAATATGTCAGAAGATACAGGTACGAGTGTTTGTGGTGAATATCAAATTAACTCAACTGGTACGGAGGATGTCAAGTCTACCAAAGGATTACAGAACCAAGAATGTTTGGACCAGAAAGAAGTGAGTGTGCCTGCAAAATTATTTTTTGTTTGGTAACCTTATCTGATTCCTGAAATATGGTTGTTTGCAGCAACTAGCAAGGGAGGAAAGACACAATTTAGGAACTACAACTGAAAATAACAAAATGAATATGTTAGAAGATGCAGACGTTCTTGTCTGCGGGCAATATCAAAATGGTCTAACTCATACCAAGGTCAAGCCTACCAAAGGAATACAAAACCAAGAAATTTTGAATAACAAAGAAGTGAGTCCACCTATAATATAACTCTTTTGTTTGATTTGCCCTATCTTTTCTATTTTTATGCTCCCTCTGTCCCAAAGAGTATCGTTCTAGTCTTCTAGATTTGTCCTTAGTCAAAGTAACTTAAGTTTGACCAAGTTTATAGAGAAGATTATCAATATTCATGAGACCAAATATGTATACTAAGAAAAGATATTTCATGATGAATCTAATCATCCTTGTTTAATACCATAAATATTGATATTTTTTTGTATAAACTTGGTCAAACTTAAGATGGCTTTACTTAGGACAAAAGCTAGAATGACATTCTCTTTGGGACGGGGGAGTGATAGATTAGTGGAGCTTGATAATACTCTTTTGCATGACCAGGTAATGGATGAAAGAGTGGAGTGTGAAGTAACAGATGGAAGTGGAGTATCCTATGAAGAGGCCTGTAAGCTTGGTGGTGATGGAGTGAGTACCTCTGGAGTTGCAGTGGATGTTAGTGATCCAGTGCTAAACAAGGACTGCAACACAGAGGAGGCAAGTACATTTTCAGAATCTAAATCTTCGCAGCATCGTTTGGCACAGCTCCTCCTAGGTCAGCAGGCCCCTAGTTCATTTTGGGGTCTGGCTCCTGCTACAGTGCCTTTTGGCTCCTGCTGCAGTGCCATTTCCAATAGGAGCTGGAGCTGGCATAAAACCTGCCAAACGGGGCCTAAATATGGTTCATTGTGATGAACTTGTTCTACAGTTGCAGGCAAGGGAGGATAAGCAGCACCATGGAGTTGGACATGCGAATGAGAAGAGGATTTTGGAAGACACTAGTATGATTAATACTGGTGAATTGAAATGTGATTTGACTGTTATGGAGGTTAGCATGGCTGGGTTAAGAGAGGGAACACTCAACCAGTGTGCTGCAAGTTTGGAGAAGGTGAGCACAGTTTGCTTTTTGAATGTAATTTTTCCGTTTGTCTGTAGTAGCTGATGCATCTCAGTCACAGGAAGAGGCAGTGCAGGAGAAGCATGATCAGGGAGTGGTAGATGAAAACACAAACAGAGGTTCAGCTGACATTGATGCACTTGAATGTGAAGGAGTGAATCCTGATGTGGCCATGAAAATGTTTCATGAAACTATTCTTACAACAGAAGCTGTCAATGTACCTGGGTCTAAAATTTCGTCTGAGAACAAGCAAAAGGAAGCACCCTTTGAAGAACACTCTATAACAGAAGTCGAAGATTCTGAATCAAATGAATCTGCAAGAAAGGAGCCTGAAGGAGCTCTTCCACAAGAGCCTGGAAACCTGGTAAAAATTAAGCAAGAAAGTTTGGAGAATGGAACCGAGATGTCCATTTTTAGGGAGAATGACAAAACTTCTGGAAAACATCAGACCTCAGCAGAGTTTATGATTGCTCCTTCAAATATGGATGAACGGGGTGATAATGATATTGGATGGCCTGATGAATCAGCAAAAGGCTGCGAAAGGTTAACTTCTGATTCAATAAACACAGTTCGCTCCATCAAATTTGGCAAGCCAAGTAGTGAAGAGGTTAAGAGAACACAGAACACCAGGTCTATGTATCTAAAAGATATCAAGGAATCATTGGGTAGAATTCGTGCTGAACCATCAAACAGGGTACATGCAACCAGTGTTGGGTATCACTCTCGGCACGCAGCTCAGGATCCAATTTCATCTTGCAAGGAGATCAAAGTGCCTTTGCGAGACAGTGCAAGGGATTTTGGAAGGGACCGTGCACTAGAGTTAGTGGTTACAAGTCCACAAGAAGAGACTCCTCGATGGAGGCAAGAACAATATGCACTTCAAATTTTAGAAGATGTTCAAAATTCTCGAATTGCTGAGAAATCTAGGATGGAAATGGAGATCAGAGTACTCAAGGCACAAGTTAGTAGCATGGAGAGACAAGGGATGAACTTGGATCACTCCTCTGAGGTGAAGTCCAGATCTAGTTTGAACCAACAAATGCTACATTTGCACAAACCATCCTTCTAAAATTGTAACGGATTTAAAATTTGTGAAATAAACACAAATCCATGCAAGTTCTCTATCCCATCGACTACCTCCTGGAAGTCAGATTGCTTTACTGTTAGGCATGTTTGGATCCCATGAATTGAAAATTTGATAACAATATATAGAAAGTGCTTCTCATTTCATTATTAGATAATTTAGATTACTTTCCAATTCCTCTCAATTCCTGGGAACCAAACAGGGCCTCAGGTGAATTTGATTTTAAAGATCAGCAAAGCAAGGTCCTGCATTCTATCCTCAAATAATATAAGCGCCTTGTCCATGTGTAAAGTAATCCAGTAGAAAAATGACATTGTTAGTGAATTTCTGATGCAAATGTCAGGCTCAGTTGTTCCCAATCTCCCATTACACTGAATGCTTGAATGTGTTAGGGACCGTGACGTCTAAGAAGGGGGTGAATTAAACAACTTAAAATTCTAACTCTAAACTATGGTATTTTTTTTTTCTATCCTTAGCAAAAACCTATGTAAAAGATAGACTATCTAAATGTGCAACTACGGTTTTGCTAGGGTGTTGCTATCTCTACCGTAAAAAAAAGTTATATTCCAAACCTATCAGCTAGTTTATCACTAAGCTAGGAAAGTAAAGCATAAACCAAGATTGCAATGTATATGCGAAAGCTAAAGAGTAAGGTGGAGATATGTAAATTCCCGTCGACGACTCCAATATTTTTTTCGAGGTATCGAGAAGCGCGCAAGCTTTCCCCTAATCCTCGTTGGGGCCCCTCGTAAGGAATCCCTCGTAAGGGCCAAGCTCCTGGTCGGGTAACTTCATGGATAGCCCTGGGCCTTCCCCACGCGCAAGTGGGTTGCCGGTGTGTCTTCCGGTAAGCCTCTCCCAGACCGTTCCCCGCCGTCTTCACTATCAAGCTTCCGACCGAACCGCCGTGGGCCTTGTTCCCTTCAGTACACGGTGACGGCCACACCACAAACACGGTTGGTGTGATCTCGTAAGACTACAAGCCCCTCCGATGTACAACAACGGTGCGCGCAAGCACCGAGTGGTAAGAGGTGTACAAATGTAACACCCTAAAATTTGCCACTTTTTAAAATAGGTTCAAAATGATTTATTTGTGAATTTTTGTGTACATGAAATATAGGAAAATAAAAATTTTCATTAAATTAAAATTCATCATAAGGTTTAGCAACATGTTTGTGCATACATGCCCTTGCATTTGATGTATTTGATTGAGTGGTTTTGATTGAAAATTCAAAATGGTTTAAATTGCTTTTGCAAATGAAATTAAAAATGACTTTGAAGTAAAAGAAGAGAAAGAAAAGAGAATTAGAAAATAAAAGAATTTAAAAAGGTGTACAATTTATTTTTTGAAAACTTACCAAAATTTCTAAGTTTACTTTGAATTGAAAGAATAATTTAAATGTGGTTTTGATTCAAGGTTCAAATGAATTTAAAACCCATTTGAAAAAGTATTAGGAAAATCAAATTTGAAAAAAAAATGAGCAAGCCCTGCTTCTGGCCCATGGTTTTCTCCCGCCTGGTCTTCTCCTTCCCCCGGCCTCTCTCTTGGCCCAGCTACGCGCACAAGCCCAGCTCTGCTCCCGCGCCGCTCCTTCGCTTCGGCCCACGCCAACGCACCAGCCCAGCGTCGCCCGTCGCTCCCCAGCGCCACGGCCTGTTCTGCTCTCTATGCTGGCCCGTTTTCCCCGCACCGGCCCACTTGCGCCCGCGTTCCTTTGCTTCAGCGCGGCCCAACTTCGTCGTAGGCCAGGTCTAGCCACGCCCATGTGTTCTCCTCTTCCTCTGTCGCTGACTGACCGGTGGACCCTCCTTGTCAGGCCTTTCTTCTCCCTCACGTAGCTCCGTCGGACTTTGCCGCCGCCACCGCCCGGGAGTCCCACGCTGCCCCGTCCTCCACCGATGACGTGCGCCCCAAGCTGCGCCAGCCTCTTAAATAGCGAGCCCCGCGCCGCGCCGCCTCCCTATACCGCCTCAGAGCCAGCTATTGCCTTGCCTCCGAGCCGCAGTCGCCGAAGGAGATCCACCGTCCGCCTCGTGGAGTACCGCACCCGCCTTGCTCCTTCTCCGCCGCCGAGGTAGCCCTAGGTGAGACCGTCGTCGCCCCCTCTCTCTCCCAGTGTCTCCGGTTCGGAAAACCATGCACCGTAGCCTCCTAATCGACAACGCCGGTGAGCCCATCCATGGCGCCACCGCGGTCAACTCGCCGCCGGCCCTGTTCCGGCCAGTCAGGCCCTCTCCCCCCCCCCTCCACTTCTATCCCGGCCGTATAAATCTAATCCGACGGCCCAAAAGCAAAGATACCCCTTCGCGTGGCCGTCTTACTAAAGAGTCCCTGCGTTATTCAATAATAGAACCCGTGGTCCATTGCGTATTTCACAGTTTATGCTTTCTTCTTTTAAAAGCGTATTTTATTCGGTTGACTACAAAGATACGTTTTCACTTATTTACAGATTTGCCACTGATTTTGTTTTAGCCATAACTTCTCCGTTTTAACTCTGATTTGATCCGTTCAACTTACGTTAGGTTCGTAATTTCATAATGAAAGTGCATCTAGCCCTTTAGTGGATTTTGGATGATTGAATGACAACGTGATTAAAAGGTCTAACCCGTTTGCTAAGCGTGGACAGGTAATAGGTTATCTCACAGATACTTAATGAAAGCCAAAATGATGTGTTGTTGTATAAACAATCTAGTTCAAGTACAAGACAACAATGTAAATGAAATTCATGCAAAGGCTTATTTATTGTGGAATTTCCATGTATTATGTGAAAGCAAGCTCTTAAGAATTAATTGATGAGACATGAGGGATTGCATATGGAATGGTCTTATATTTGAAGCTTGCTAAATTGAAATGAAAAAGATAACAACACATATGAATTGATGATTCAACACAAGATGTGACTTGATGGCTTGAGATGGTGAGATAGCAAGGAAAGGCTTCGAGGTACTAAGCAAGGGTGAAGGGCAAGCGACGGCTTGGCGGCCGAAGAACCTAGCTAGGGTGAAGAAGGAAGTACTTGCATTTAGTTAAGGTACTAATCAAGCTATGATGGTCATATTGATGTGGAGGATCAAATCTATATTGAACAAAAGTGTTTGAAGTGACTTGATGCATTTGGAGTTATTCATATTTGATGAATGGAATCAAGTCACGTGTTCAAGATGGCCATGCTCAAGTGAAAAAGATCAATATCAACATGTTGACACCCTCACTTGATGAAGATTGAAATATATGGCTTCGGTTGAAAGAGATCAACTCAAAAGATTTAATTTCGTTATACTTTTAAGATTGAGTTAATAGGAATATCGTACTATTAAGAGGGATGCATCATGTTGATAGATAATGTTTCATAAGTGCTTAAGCCAACCCATGTGAGTTTTGAGTATTTGAGAGACAAAAGAGCTAACTGATTTCTTGCTGGTCTGGCAATACCGAACGTGTCCGATATTCATACCGGACGTGTCCGGTATTTGCCCAGCAGTGGTAAAATTATTGTTCTTGGGTTGGTTTGTCGGGAGTGCCGACGTTAGGCATGATCCAGCTTTGGAGAAATACAAGAAGGCAAGGCAGGAAATGCATCCTAGATTCGAGCCGACCAGTAGGAGGTCTACTAGAGTTGCCTCTAGTGCAGCACCTCAGTATGCAGAGGGATCAGGGAGCTCTTCTTCTAACACTGATACTGATGAGTTCAGTGTGGAGCCCAGAGAAGATAGAAAGAGGAAGAGCACTGACAGAGACTTAGATGATGACAGTTTAGATGAGGAGCAAGAGATTAAGGAGGAGGAGCCAGTACCTCCATTTCAGCACCAGCCTGGTCAGGGTATGCATTATGGTCTTCTTGAGATATGTCTGCCTAATGTGCCCTCTTATGTTTCCAGAGTTGACTACAGGGGAAAGGGCATGACCAGGAAAGCTAGAGATGAGAGAAGAGTAGATCTGAGAGGCTTACCTAAGGTTCAGTATGATCACCGCTTCCAGACAGCCTTTCACATGGACTTCTACTCCAGTGTGATTCTCACCAGGAACCCTGTGGTAGCCAAATCTCAGTGGATAGACTGGCAGTATGTTAGAGAGTTGCAGAAGGCCTCAGTTGATCATGCTATTGCCATTTGCCAGTGCACATGAGTTTATGAGATCATGGAGTTCCAGCATGTCTGGAACACAAAGGTGGTAGCTCAGTTTTATGCTACTCTATTCATTGAGGAGGATGAGAGGTGGATGCACTAGATGCTTGAGGGCCAGTGGTACAGTGTTGACTATGATGTATTCGCCGCCCAACTTGGCTTCTCAGAGGATGATCTCCAGAGGGATAAGATTCACACAGAACAAGTACTTCCTCTAGAGCAGCTGGCCTACATGTACCCACCAGGAGGTGAGAGAGGAGCAGTGGGCAAGGTTCTAGGTCTTCACCCTACTTACAGATAACTAGACAGGATGTTTAGGAAGACCATTGATTGCAAGGGTGGAGATAAGGGAAACATCACAGATTACTCCAGGAACCTGCTCCACAGAATGGCACCTGATGCTCGGCCTTTCAGCGTTTTTGACTTTATCTGGTGTGAGATCTGGAGTGTAGGTGAGAGGCCCCTCAAGGGCTATGGATTTGCTCCTTATATCATGTATATGATTGAGCAGGTCATAGGGCACACATTCGAGTATGACAAGATTCACAAGGCCCTGAAGATTGTTGCAGACTTGCCTGAGACAGGGGTACCTCCAGCAGGTCTAGGGGAAGCAGCTGCTGCAGCTATGACAGATACACCTACCGGTGGTGCACCAGTAGGAGGAGCTTCCCTTCTGCCACGTGGTTCTCACTCATGTTCTTCTTCTGTCCATGGCAGTCCTCCCTTGCCTATCCGTAAGTTCTTCAGTTCCATCTTTGGGATGTGCCGGGACATTCAGATTAGGCAACGGGGCATTGAGTCTAGGCAAAGGAAGGAAAGGGAGGCTAGGAGGAAGGACACCAGGACTCTAAGGCAGTTGG